TAGCTACAGTGTGAAACCTCTGTGTGATGGGGGCCGAATAAAATAAACTGCAAGTGCAGCATGAGGAAGTGTGGTATCTGAAAGGCATCACAAAAATGCAACTACATACTGGTGCAATTACTTTCAAGTGCAACACATTGGAAAGAAACCAGTACGGTTAACAAATACTTTTCATTTTTCATTGAAGTCCAGTGTCATCACTGAAATCTGTCAGAGATTCAGAGTGCGCTGTCTTACAGTGTGTTCCTGCAGGCTGCTAAGAAACTACAATGAAAAGTTACAGCTTCCACATATAGCTTGCTGCTGCTCCTGTTAAGCAAAATTTACACAGGAAATTTGTAAGGGATTCATTGGGAGAGTATGGAATTACCTGCAGAATATAGAGAAATAGACCCTAGACTCAGCAATTTGGGTTAATTCCATTGCTATTTGAGAACTAAGTCTAAGTGCCTGGGAAGGGTATAGACAGGAAACATGGATTAAACCCTGGACAAGGAAAAAACAGGTGTTAACAAATTTTAATTATTCTGAGGCATTCTTATCACTGAGGTTTCAACTTGCTGTGACTGCACCACTGAGATGAGTTTAGAAAGAAGCATCAGCAGACTCCACCATGAAGACCAGTAACTGTGACAGTAATGTTCCTGCAGGCAGCAGGCTCAAAGTCACACATTTCCACCCCCAACCACTGCCACAGCTCACCTTTCCCCTCTGCTCACATCAGCAAGCCACGGAAAACTCTTCACTTGGTGGCACACTCAAGTGCTCTTCATTTTGGAAGAGGCCATCAATTTTAGCCTGAAAGCTCCCTCTTCTCTGCAAAAATATGGTTTCTCCTCATGTCTGGCTAGTGATTCATTACCTCATAGCAAACAAGAACACAAAATAGAGTTTTTAGCTAGGAATAAATCCCCAGCATTTTATCGTGATTCCTGTGTGAATTATCTTGGTTCCCTCTTTAGGGGCTTGGTCATACAGTGGTCTTCCACTTAGGTTTTGGAAGTCATTATACTTCCACTCTTCTCCTTTCAAGAACACTTCTTTACTCCAAAGGATATACAAATAGTTCTGATAAAATTAAGTTCTGTAAATTGAGGGTTGATGATAGGCTGTGCTTCTGCTGTATATTGCTACTTTAGATTCTCTCCCCTTAGTTTAGTTTGTGTGGCCTCAAGCACTTAAAAACCAAGAGGTACTCTGCTGTTTAGACGGGGAGTGTGTAAGCATACAAGGAGGTAGAGTACTCTCATATTTTAGACTGTGAGCACGTGTTCTTTTTCTTTAGCCTGAGATAAATGATTTTATGTCTTTGATATATTTGTGCACTAGATAATGTGTGATTAGATCCTTGCAACAGCAACTTAAGATGCTCATTTTAGCATACTGTCCAAACCTTGCAGCCTTCAGAGGAAGGGCAAACATCTGTTGCACTCCTTTTCTGAACTAGCAAAGTCTGTAAAAAGAGTAGAGCCTAATTCTGCCTTTACTGAAAACTGCCCCTGGACACCAGTTATGACAGTTTTGGACTCTGTACATCTATCTCCACATACTGTTACTGGGGGTTAAGTTTAAGGGTTAACTGATGTAATCCAGGAAGACCCAGTGCAAAAATGTGGGATGCTGTGCAGCAAAATATTCTGAAGTTGTAGACAGACACCGAAGTAATCCCTTCCTAAGTGAAGTGCTGACCTTTACATCTGTGATCTGGTGAAATATGAGAGTTTTCCCAAGAATCTGGATTATGTTTTATGCCTCATCTGTGGGTATTTGTCATATAAAGAACTACTTACTGAATACTCAGCAGTCTTCAAAATCAGCAAAATTATAACCTGAAGCTGGAAGTCTTCAATATAAATCCATAAGATTTTCTAAAAGAAGTACAACAGCAATATTAATCCTGGACTATCAGGATTGCTGTTCACTTCAGTTTGCTGTTCACTTTGTCTCAATTAAATTCAGCAAGTATTAACCTCAGTTCTCTTCATTAACTTTTCTACATCTTTTCATGGCTTTAAAACTTAGTGAGGCAGCTTGGAGAGTTTTATGTTGAATTTGGTAATGTAAATATTTACTTTTCAGATTTTGGATGAAACACAAGTTTCACTGTAAAAACTCATATTCTGTTTGAAATGCTTTTACCTGCTATTTTAATACAGAACATCTTGGATTAATTGTACCAGAAAAAAATGTTTTTACAGTAGATTTAACTATTGTGGTTTTTTTAAATGTAGATCGTCCATATACCATGAGGGGAAAAGAATGTATTTTTATATAGTACAATTGTTTGTTAAAATGTAAAAAAAAAATAAAAATAAAATAAATACGGACAGCTTTCTGTTTAGCTCTGAAACGATTTCTAACTTGCTTTTTTGTTTTGTACAATGGACAATCATGTTGACAATGCCATTTACCTAATTATACACAGTTAAAGAACTGGTTTTCAAATGGCATCCTACTTCCTCACTGGATGAAACTTTTGACTTAACCCACATGAGAACTTCACCCTAGAAGAGCATCTCTGATAGGTTCCCAGGTCAAATAGCCCACGAGATGTCGCTGCAAAGCTGAAAGATGTTACCCACTATCTCTCCAAATGCGAAAGGCAGCACACTTAAAGCACAGGTGGTCTGTTAAGACCAAGGATGAAGAAACTGAATTTGTTTTTCTAAAGTAACAGCAGAGGAGCTTTACCTGAAATTCCATATGCTAGGGAAGAAAGACTAAAATTTGGTTTTGAAGAATGTGACTACTTTTGAAAATGGCTCAGACATGAACAAAGCCAAAAGCAGAGAAAGCTGGGATACAAAATTTGCATGCTGGTACTACTTCTACAATTAAAAAACCCCAAACAAAACAACATGTCCTTTGCACATGCTGGGGTCTCCTTCCCAAAATGACAAACAGAATGAGTTCATAGCTTCCTGCACTGGGGGGGGTGTGTGCATGCCAAAATGCAGTGAGGCCAGGACCACATACAGCCATAGAGTGAAATAGGAAGGAAAGTGATTTATCTAAATGGACATAATCAATTCTATTTGTAATGATGGAAATGCCACTGGTAATTAATGTTTCCTCTCCTACAAACGCTTTACAGAGAGAAATAAAAAAAAGCTAAAAATTGAAATTGATATAGAATCAGAAGACAGACCCGTATTTTCAGATTTTAATACGTTTTCAGGAATTATGTTTATATGTAAACAACGAGGCCTTACTGATTCTCAGCAGCTACATGGTCTTTTTTGACTTTTAATGCTTACTCCAGCTGCAAAGGGGTGTAGCCAGCACACACAAGTACATAAGAGAGCTGGCAGAACCGCACTGCTTGATGACTTTCTGGTGCCTGTGACACCACTGCATTCAATTTTTCTACTATGCCACTAAAATCACAACAGGATGCAGATGATATATTTTAATATGTGTGGTACCATTAGAAATGTATCATTTGATGTCTATTGCTGTATTAGTCTGTAACAGTGATGCAGTTAATGAAGAAGAGAATGTTTTTTATGAGATGTTGTAGAAGTGCCTCATTTTGTCTGTATCCACATTAAACGTGTAGGCTCCTAGGGACAGGGACTTCCATTTCTTTTCTTTTTTTTTAATAGGGCCGAGGTTAAAGACAACATAAATAAAAAAATACAGCAAACATAAAAGAATGGTTCTGTACTATAACTAACAAAACTAGGAAAGTCCTGAAAAGGAAGAAACATCTTGTCCTTCCACAACCTGTGTTTCTGACCTCGTGATTGCTGCATACGATGATGATGTAGAGTACACATTCATACAAACCTAAACAGATAATTCTCCAGTCAGTTCCCCAGGTGAAAAATCTCTTAAAAAATGCTATAAATAGACAAGTTAGGCAGAATTCCTACCTGTCCAAGTCAGGCAGCCATTCTAATCAAGCATACAAATGCAAGAACCAGCAGCTTCAAATACCAAGGCGATGATATTTGAAACTGACTCATATCCATGCCACCAGCTGCTTTACAAAACTTAGCATTCTAAGACCTTATACAATTGTGAATCCTCCACGAAACAGTTTTCAGAATGTTAATTTATCCTTTGAGTGTGAAACTGAAAAAATAATCACCCCCCTCCAATTTTAAAAATCACTTTTCATATTTTAGACTCTCCAAATACCATAAATCAATGTTGATTGGGTATGCAGAGTTCTGAGTCACCTCCAACATTGGAAATACTACAGTAAAGCACCCAAAACTAGATACACCCCTTGTTTTGGTATCTTGCTCCTGGTAAAGGCATAATCAATGATGTCCTATCTAAGCCCTTTATCATTCACTGGAAAATAATAAGGCAGTTTTATAAGGCTGGGTGTTCATCAGGGTTCTGCTACCCGTGATGCTTGGTTTTGACTGAGCCATTCACACTAGAGTAAACAGCTATAGCTCTACTGCTCTATAGCTATCTATATGGCAATGATTCTATAGCAAGAGAAAACCTCACCTCTCCTTTTTTGTTTTGTTAGGGTTTGGTTTTGATTTGTTTTGTTTTTTTCATTTTTCTGGGGGGAGGTTACTTTCTGCCTTTGCAGTTGCAAAGCTCTTTCCTTTCTTCAGGAAGGCTTTGTTCCTACTATCACCTATACTGAGGCCACAAGAATTATTCTGTTGACTTGGCCTTTACATAGCCCTTTCCTTACTCCATTGCCAAGTGTACCTAAGTCTATATTCTTCCAGACAGACAATAGTTCTGCTACTACCCATGTGTTCTTCTTGAAACAACAATTTCCATGTTGGTGAGGATACAAAACCTTTTACTTAGACCATAGAAAAGAGACACCTATTGTCTGTGTTGCACAGAGAACAATATAGTATTTTTTCCTATAGTACAGGAAAGACATGAATAGATGTTTTGCTTTATCAAAATTTAAAAACATATAAACGTGGCATCTGTGTGTGTGAATTACTGCAATAAAAATCAACCAACCAAAATAGCACTGCCAAGAGAGCATCAAGCCAGCCTGGTTTTCTCATTACCTTTCAATTACAGGGTTCAAACAACTCTGTTAGAGGACTGCTGCTCAGTCTGGGACTCCAGCATTCATGGGACTCCAGCAGTTTGTAAACATGCATTGAAAGATGGTCTGTAAAGTAATCACTGGCTTCTGGTTGAATCTGTTAATTGGAGAGACGTAAACTCAAGAATCACATTTTTATATAACAAATATTTTTAACTCAAATACTTGTAGTCATAACAACAAATTTATGATTTTATAAAAAAGTAACTATTTGTTTTTCTTAATGCTCTATCCTTAAATATCACCATTTTTCTCTTCCCCTCCTGCCACTGCCAAAAAACAGAGATACAAGCAAGCAAGCCAGTCTTTTTAGCTTTTTTTTTTTTTTTACTTAAAACCTTAGCTGGCTCCTCTGAAAAATGCACAGATACATTTTCTATTTAACATTCTTATGTGTCCAGGTACATCCCCACCAACTCCATCATGGTCCCCTAGACCAGAAGTCTTTAGGAAGAATATATGCCACTCCACATCAGGAGAAGCATGTCCTTCTTAAGGTTCATCAGTTATTGCTAAAATGAAAGTATATTCTTGCAATGAACAAAGCTGGTATTTGAAATAGCTGCAATTAGTTACAGAAGGACCAGAATCGGGAGAAATTCACTCTTAGCTCAACTATGGGTTTTCTAAGTTATATGTATCAAATAATTCTGAGTTGTATAGAAATGAAAAGAACTTTCAAGAGTGGAAGCACTTAAGACACATCTTAGCAAAAGATAATTCTGGGGATTTGTCTAATGAACCCTTGTCACTCTGCTAAATTAAAAGCTAAGTGGCTAACTAAATATTTATAAGCTTCTGAGGTGGAAGTGACTCAGGATATGTCTACACTGGAGTGTGCTTCTGAATTATGACTCATGTATTTGTGGGTGGATTTTAGCTGAACCTGCCTTGAAAGTATGTGATGCTGTACGGCACAAGGCTCATACTATCATAGAATCATAGAATAGTTAGGGTTGGAAAGGGCCTTAAGATCATCTAGTTCAAACCCCCCTGCCATGGGCAGGGACACCTCACACTAAAACATCTTACCCAAGGCTTCGTCCAACCTGGCCTTGAACACTGCCAGGGATGGAGCATTCACAACCGCCCTGAGCATTCACAACCCCAGCATCCCTATAGGCCCCCTTCAGAGCCTTCTCTTCTCCAGGCTGAACTGCCCCAACTTTCTCAGCGTGTCTTCATACGGGAGGCGCTCCAGTCCCCTGATCATCCTCATGGCCCTCCTCCGGACTTGTTCCAACAGTTCCATGTCCTTTTCATGTTGAGGACATCAGAACTGCACACAATACTCCAGGTGAGGTCCCACAAGAGCAGAGTAGAGGGGCAGGATCACCTCCTTCGACCTGCTGGTCACGCTCCTTTTGATGCAGCCCAGGAGACAGCTGGCTTTCTGGGCTTAAGCGCACACTGCCTGCTCATGTTCATTTTCTCATCGACCAGCACCCCCAAGTCCTTCTCCACAGGGCTGCTCTGAATCTCTTCTCTGCCCAACCTGTAGCTGTGCCTGAGATTGCTCCGACCCAGGTGTAGGACCTTGCACTTGTCATGGTTAAACTTCATGAGGCTGGCATCAGCCCACCTCACAAGTGTATTGAGGAATATTCCTTATATTTTTAACCCATATTCAGTGCTGAAGCTGACCGGATGAAAAGGGTCGTCACTCCAGAGCCTACAGCATGCTACCATCGGTAGATGATCTAGGAAATAGCTCCTAGCATATTGCTGGGGAATTTGTCTGATTTCCTTGGATTCCTCTATGGAAGCTCTTTTCTTTCTTCCTGCCTGCTTGCCTGCCTTTCATCCTGCCTGTCAACAGGTAATTTTGACTTGTGTTCTCCCCTCTCCTCCCCCCAAAGTTTTAAGGATTAAACTTGGAGCCAGTGGGAAGCTTTCTGTAAATGAATGGTTTGTTTAGCAGAACAGACACTTGCTCAGACTTCCAGTGTCACTTCTATTCCTCTACTGCAGAATGCAGTGTGACTGTACAGAGAGTTTGTGACATGCTTGTCAGTAATTCAATTGCCAATGTGTATGTAGCCTTGCACTTCTGGTGCATATTCACACCCTCTTACGGATCCAGGATGACTGGCACTGAGCCCAAAACAATGAGATTACCAATAGCACAATAATTTGTCAGGAATAAGTGAATATAAGGCTGCAAGAAAACATGTACCAGAAAGAGCAGAACACCACCCAACTCGCTGTCCTGCCTCAGAGGCCAAGACAGGATACCTAAAGCAGAGTGTAAGAACAAAGCAGCCACTTCAGACTACTTCCAGGGACCTACCTCACAGACAACCAGAGATGATTTTATATTTAATAGCTCATGATGTATTTTTGTTCCATGAATGTATCCACCTGTGTTTTGTACTAAATATCCAGCATCCATACTGCTATATTAGATCACACATCTGGGGTAAAGAGGAGAGGGAGGAGCGAAAAGGGGATAATTAAATGCTGTCCGTTTGGCTTCAGTTGAAAAAGGAAACCACTCCACTTGCATGCAATATCCTTCACAACAGTAATGTAAGTGGTCATGATCCTGAAACCCTACTCTAATCAAAATGGCAGCAGGTACTTAAGGGGCTGACTTCCCTACATGGTTCTGAAATGCTTCTTTTTGCGGCCTGTCCTACAGTTGACACAGACACTGACCTTAAACGCAAGCCTTTTGAACCTTCACTTTCACTGGCTTTCTTGAGATTCAGCCACTTGCTTCTCTCTTGTTCTCCCGCCATACCAATGACTACAAACAAACCTGTCCCATGTAATATTCAGCCTTGATAGGCTCTGTGCTCCATAGTGGCACAAAGTTCACCGTTCATGCCTTGCACTGAAGAGCACATTCCCTGGTCCACTTTCCATCCCTTGGTCCTTTCTTACAGATCTGCTGGAAATGATCAGTTTGCTCCCTGTGCTGCACACCAATCTGGTGCTGCATGCCCAACTGTCCTGGGAAGAACTCATTCAAGTTACTGTTTCTTGAACTTCAGATGAATTAAAAGTTCTGTGGAAAAAAAAAAGAAAAAGAAAAAAAGAGATTAAGCAGAAATCCAAGGTGCTTTTCTGGCAACAAGCAGCTTGATCTACTGCAGTTAGATACTTTTAAAAAAGCAAAATTAAGAGCTAATCATTAAAGGTGGGTTTGAATCTGCAGTAGAGGCTAAGACATAGAAGGCATATGCAAAATAAGACCTTAAAAGAGCCTGAAAGTAGAGGTATGACAGATGATGATCTGCAATGAGACCCATCATGAAGCAGCTGCACTCTTCACAAGGAGGGCAGCAAGCAGATAACAGCATGGTTCTGAACAGCCTCTCCCATAGAGCAGGAGGCGTTTCACAGCTTCAGTTCAGTTTGTGCCTGTGCAGGGAGAGGAGAGGGCTTTGAGCTACACCATACTAAAACCCTCACTGCAGGCATTGTGTATTATTAGCAAGCTGTAAGTTACAGATGGCTAAAACGTCTTCCACAAAACAGCCCCGTTTCAGATGTGCTTTTATGTTACTGTAAGTACATGAAGTAACTGTTAAAACGATTGCTAACTTAAAAATGTATTTTTTGACTAAATGCAGCTTGCCTACCTTTTACAAGGCATTGTTTTATTGTAACCATAAAAACTTTAATTCCCTATACCCACAATCTTTTCTCTTGAATTACATTTTATAGTTTGTTCGCTCTGCAGCCTGTCAGCTTAATTTGTAACTTGTATAGATTTTCTGCCCAGCAACAGCAAGAGGAAAATATTCAAAAGGAAAAGGTGTCGTACCAGAAAAAAACAAAACAAAACAAAAAACCCCAAACAAAACAAAAACCCCACAAAAAATGTCACAGTGACTTGGGGCAAATATACTGCTGGAAACAATTTTATGTTTTTAATTACCTACTTTTCAATCTGAGAGGTTCCAAAATCACAGGAACAGGAAGGGACAAGACTTGAAAGGGCTTAAGGGCTTGACAAGACAACACAGCACTGCACATACTTTTCCACCCCAAAGTGCCAGGGTGTGGTTTGGAAACATGGAGCCAGGATAAACGATTATATGCTTTGCTAACTGAGTGACCTCATAGCAAAAGCATGCGGGGCAACTACTGACAAAAGACCTTTTTACTGTATATAGGTTGCTTTCTGAATCTAATTATGTAAGTATATGAGGTCTGAGCAACCAGACTGTTTAAACAGGTAAGAATTAACAAAGGCCTGTTGCATCGAGCATCTTTAAGGCCGAACCTTCTATTTAGAAGTAACAAAACTAAACGTGTACATTTTTACCGCCAATGAGCTGGAGCAGCTCTTTTCCAGTAGGATGGGCTCGCTCTCCAGATCCCAAGTGACACCTCTAAGTGCAGACCGACTCCCCAGCTTGTCCAGCATGTGGTCACACCACTATCTCCTGCCCCCCCGGCTGTCTGCGAGGGAGCCAGGCGGCAAGAGGCACCACTCCCAGTTTAGGAGTTCGATTTCAGACGCGAGAGTGAGGCCCAGGCACCGGGGACGCAGCATCTCCCCGCGGGGGAGTTTCTGATGAACCAGACTACTTCAGGGATGCTGACAGTCAGAAAAGAGCCCGACCCCTCGGCCCGCAGCAATGTCTAAACCGGGGCAGCCCAGGGGTGAGCAGCCCCCGCGCACGGATGCTGTGACCCGGCACACAGGGCTGCACCACCAGAAACCCTCACCCGGAGCACCCGCGGAACAGCCGAGGGCACGCGGCCTTCCCGCCCCTCCGCAGGCTCCCGCCGCCTCTCGCGAGGCAGCCGCCCCCCTCCCCCCCCCGCGCTCGCTCACGTCACCGGCGGAGCAGACGGGGACAACATGGCGGAGCGGCGGAGGCACAGGAAGCGGATCCAGGTAGCTGGCCCTCTCCCTACCAGCCTGCCCTGCCCTTGCCTCCCCCCCGGGCGGCAGCTCCCTCTCTCCGTCCTCAGGGAGGCCCGGCTGGGCTGCGCCGGGCGGCCCGGCCGCACCTCAAGGGGGCTTCCCTCCCTTTTCCACGGCCTCCCCGCCACGACGCCGTGCCGTTGTGAGGTGGTGGCGGCGGCGGGCGGTGGGGGAAGCACCATCGTCTCGCCCGCCGCCGAGGTAGCGGGATCCCGCAGGCGCCGGGAGCGCCGCACCAGAGCTCGGTAGAAGCCCGGGCTGGCAGCGGGAGACAGGCTTTCCTCAGAATTTTCCAGCAAATTCATAAATCCTCGTAAATACTGAGGGAAGCAGGGGCCCCTGCGGGGCGGAGGAGTGCCTGTAGGAGCGGTTTAGGGGTGCTGCAAGCATTGCTTTCCTGCCGCGGCTGGAGGCTGAGGGGCGGCCGGCACGGCAGGGAGCCCGTCCCGGCCTCACCCTTAGCGGCGGGCCTGCCCTCAGAGGGTCTGCGCCCTCGAAAGTACGTCGTCTTCTTCGAAGACCAGCGGGTGAAATGTCGAATGTTCCCTGTTTTTAATGGTCCTATTATACTTAGGATCTCACCCGTTACCAGTGTTGGACAGTAGCTTGATGTGATATAACAACACTCAGAATAGGCGAGCAGCCACCTTAGCCGAGAGCTGACCCATCATCTGTCTGTTCCAGCGATCATAAGGAAAAAGGCATGGGGCAGATGGTGTAAGTATCTTAAAAAAAAACGTGCCCAGCCAGGAAATTATTTGGTGAGGAAAACAGATTTGTTTTTAGAAAACATAAACAACCGCTTGTAAAAATAGACTTTATCAGTTTTGAGATCATGTTAAAATGTAGTGATAATTATGTGGTGTCACTTAAGGGCAAGATGAAGACATCTTAGTTATTTTCACTTACCTGGAAGTCTGGACTTCTTAGTATATTAACAGTGAGTTTTACAAAGTTTATTATGCATGTTTTGGACAGTTATAACATCAGGTACTATAATGGCTGTTACCATTATGTATTATTAACACTAAGCCTAAATAGTGTGTGTTTGGGATTTATTACTCTGCTGTTGAGTGGAGATAATCTTCACAAGAGAAATCATAAAGCCATTCAACAATGTACACTTCACGTGTCATATTTCTGCTTGGTTGCTCTCTCTCCTTTCTCATCCTTTCCCTTCCCACCCCACTTTCCCTTCCCCTGAGAAAGCAGAGATGTGCCTATACATCATAGTTTCTTTTTTCCCCTTTAATTCAAACTACGGGAGCCAGGGGAGGGGGAATGCAAAGGGTAATTAATCAAAATCTGGTTAAGCGAGGCTTATCAATCACAGATATTCAATGTATTACCATAAAACATTACAGAATTACTATCTTTTCATACTCATCATAGACTGTCCCTTACCAAGGACAAAACTAGCTCAATAAAGCATCCATCAAACCCAAATTAAATGTAATTAAATGTTTTGTACAATACACAAGGCAGTGGTCTTGCAGGCACTTAAGCACATACTTAATTTCCTGCCTGATGTCTGGGTGTTAGCACTTACGGTTTAGATTGTGGCCTGAATTTGAGATACAACTAGGCAGATAAATGTGTATTGCCTCTTAGTAGTTTCTCTGTGTGTGTAAGCAACAGTGGGAAGACAGAACAGTGAACAAAGAGTGTTGAATGCCCAAGTGGTGTTCTTAATTGGGCAATGAATAAAATAACATGTATTTTTCTTGGTAGTTGGTTTTGCTTGTTTTTTTCTTTTTTAAGCTTTTCGAACTTTATTGGCATAGTTACTGTATTATCATGTATATATCCAACCCTAACTGTTCTATGATTCTGTGTTTCAGGATAATGCTGCAAGTTTCTTGTTTTAAAATGGAGTGTGTGATTTGTAGTTGTTGCAAGTGCTTTGGAAGCGTACATTTATTTTAGGGTGATGTGTACCCCTTAATAAAGAGAATATTTATCATACTGTATGCAAGTCTGACATCTGAATTGTCATTAAGTACAGCTGCATTTGGCGAAAGGTTCTTAGGAGGAGATGGTGTGTTTAGCTGTGGAAGAGACTGATGTAATGGAGTTTGATACCAAATACTATCTGTATAGAACCTGGGTTATGAATAACTTTTATAGGATTTTATGTCTGCCATCAGGATTGGAATGATGTAGTTAGATCAGCTAGCTGCATGTGAGAGGAGACATGAAAAAAAGTCTCAGTAAAATAGTTCAAAGTTGCATCAAGCCTACTTTCTGTGTTCTCCATCGGAAGCGATAACAAGAAGGATTTGTTTTATAGATTGCATTTTCATAGAAAGACACATTGCTCAATCTGTATTACATAGCTTAGACTCTTTGCCTAGCCACAAGCTGAAAGTTATAGAAGTTGCAGAAATTGTAACTTAAAAAGTTTGAATAGAGACATTTCGAGGTAAAGTTTTCAAAATGTCATTCTGACAGTGATGATAATTAAACTGTAACTGACATGGAGATCACATCAGACATGCAATGGTGAGAAGAGACTGATCTGTAGAATGCAGCTTGCTCAAGCCAAGTGGGCTCCCACATTATTCAAATTTCTGAAATCAGAAGTGCTTGCTGTATACAAAGGGCTTATTAAAAGAAAAACAACATATGTTGTCTAGTGGCTAGTTTAATATTTTTTCTTTAGACAGATACATCTTAAAAGATGGGAGCTGTCTTTGAATGCTTGTTACTCCAGCAACCTGATCAAAGCTATTTCATTTCTTGGGGGAAAAAAACCACAATTCCATGTGTATCACAAAATACTCAAGCAAAAAATCTTCTGAGTTGCTTCCTCTGAGAAGCGTTCAGCTGGGCAACATGTGGCACTTGGTTGGCAAGGCCACAGTTTGACTGTTAAGTAGGCATTAAGCTTTAATTACATTGGCCGGATTCCATTGTGCACAGTTCTGCCCAGGTGAAGTTTTGTTTATCTTTGCGTTGCAGGTAATAGCACTTGATCAGCACCTTAGTGATGTGTCTAGAAATGTTAATGCATATAAAAACTGCTCTTCTGAATAGAGAAAACAGTTCTTAAGTAGTTCTTAGGTCAGTGTCTCACTGCAAATTGATGGCTGAGCTGCAGATTGATGGCTGAGGTGGCATCAATACTGCATGCATCCAATTAACAGCACATAACTTTCCTTGTTGACTTCTTTTTTCCTCTTCACTTGAATCACTGGATTAAAGCTTTGAGTCTCCTGATGAAGGACATCTACTAAATAGCATTGACTGTTGTAGCCTATGGTTCTGTCATGGTTTGGTCTCTGCGGGAAGGAAGATGAAACAGCTGCATTGCTGCTTCCTATGCTAGTTTTTTGTGAATGCCTATGGAAAGGATCTTCAGAAATGGCAATGCAGTGGTTGTCCAGTAATGCAGAGTTTAATCCACTTTGCCAATTTGTCTTTATTTTTTCATGCATTCTAGTAAAGCTGAGTGGGATGATAACAGAGGAGAATGGCTAAATAACTTCTTTGAAAGTGAGTGGTATTGGGTGATAAGGAGGAAGAAACAAAAATTTTGGGTGGAAAAATGCAGAAAAATAGGAATAAAAAGTAGCAGACCTGCTTGTCATTAAAACAAGAATCATTGGTTTTCAAAAATCTGAGTTACGTTTTGGGAGGTGGAAAGAGAAAAAGTCAAAACAACTGGCCTAGGGTTAGAAGGGGATGGAAGCTGGCATGTTTTGGCTTGAAAATACTGTACATAGCTCCTTTGACGTGTGTTTAAGCTCAGAAAAAATGGTGATTGCTGGAAAGAATAAATGAGAAAAACAAGTAGTTCTGTTTTATAGGATATGTATAGGACAAAAAAAAAATCTCTTAATTTTTTTTCTGTCAAGAAAATTAATGGCTTGTGGCTAGCACACAGCCATAGTAATCCAGAAGAACTGGTTTCTCTGCATGGTTCTGCAGCTGTTTCTTTAAGACACCTGGGACAATCCATGTACTGGTCATCAGTGCGGAAGTCAGACTCTGTTAATCACTGAAGAAAATACAGATGGAGTCCTAAGACCCTAATGCATAGAGTTTTTCACTCCCACCCAGTGATCTGTCGAGTCATGCTGATTTGTGAGCTTTTTCTCTGTTGCACCTTGATTTCTTTTAGGCAAAATATTTATGTTTCATCAGAAAGGCTGAGTACTTACTCCCCTGCCACAGACCGTCCTCTACGCTAAAGTCCTGAGAGTCAACAGGGAAAAGAAAAAAATAATCCTGTAATTCAGCCTAAGCTTTGATGTGTTCAGACCATCTTCAGAGGAGATAAGGCTAATGCCTCAGAAGTCATCTGTGAGGGATGGTGTTCTGAAAAATCAGAGTTCTAAGATGTAAGAGCAACAAAACAAACTAGATACTAATTTTATTGATTTTGATGACCTGTTTAAAACAGAGGAGCATAAATCCTTGTAGTGCATTTGTCTGCACATGAAATAACTTGTCTTGTTAGTAGTAGTCGTCATTTACTCTCTTCTGATTTTCCAGAAACCCTGTTTTCATTACAACGCTGTGGGAGGAGATCATCCTGGCTTGGGCTGAACCTGTCTCCTTGCAACTGTGATGCAGGGGCGGGGGGGTACGGGGGGAAGAGTGAAATTTTGAACCACAGGTATGCTCTGGCCTTTTGACATCCACATGTGTGATTCCAGGAGTAAGAGAACCTGAGTAAGTCATATTAAGGTAGAGAGGAGAGGGAGAAGACAGCTCATGGGCACACTAGTTTTAATAGCGCAGTTCAGATGTTTTTAACATATACAGGCAGCTTTGCTGCTGCAGTCCCAGCTTGCATTAACTGGGAACTACGTGAGTGTATTGAAGGAAGTTCTGAATGCACTGTGCTATACGTCGATTTGGCAGATCATAGTAAAAACTCAGTTTGATTCAAATTTTCCTTTCACTTCGGTGGGTCTGAAAGGTCCCTGGGCTTGAAAATCTCAGTGTCATTTTACGAGCTCATATAGGACAGAATTTTGATAGGAATGCTTGAGAATTTTCTTGAAAATTTGAAAATACCAGTGCATTCGTAGTAAGTAGGTAGGCTGAGCCCTGCTTTTTCTGCCTGCCTGTAGATGGAGTTCTTCTGTCTACATAAATAAGACATTTGGTTTGATTTTATTTTTAATGGCATTCTTCCAGAGTTTGTAAATTATCAGGGATCATAAATCTCCAAATTTTACATGCTCTCTAGTGACACATGCATTTTTCAATATACAAAATAAAGTAGATGCAAGGGTCTAAAATCTGGAGCCGAAGTATTTGGAAGCTTGACACTAGCCTATTTTTTATTACTGGAAAACAGAGTTTTAACAGAGAAGACATTTTACAACATTCCAGAAATATATTACCTGGGATGTCTCTTCTAGTTTTCCTATAAAAGCAAACTTTAAATACCAGGAAGTTTTCATAATGCTTTTTAAGGCCATGTGATCTGTTGTAAAGCGTTATAGTTTGTTGAGAACTACCCCTTGATTTATTTGTATAATGCTTTTCAAAATGTATCAGGAGACTTAGAAGTGTCTGTCTTTTGGCTAGTTTTACAACCGAATATAAAGATCAGTTGAGCTGCATCTTAAAAAAGTTGTGCATAGGATATTGAAGTTTTCAGTGCTTGTGTTGATTTCATGTTATGGTAAAATATAGTTTTCATTTCTGTCAGTTGTCTGTTGTAATATTTTAACAAAAACCTGGCTCTGCAAATTAAAGGGATGAAAATAGGATGAAAAAGGATTAAATTGCAGAGAAAACTTTCTCAGAATAAGCTCAATGTAACTGTGGCAGTCTTTCTCACAGGGCAGAACTTTTGTTTGAAATGTTATAAAAGTAGCCCACAGAAAAAGACAAAGCAACACATAGTAAGGAGCAATCAAAGTAAAAATATCCTGGTGCCAGCCACTGCCTATGTAGTACAGCACATGACCGAGCAGAATCATAAATATTTTAGGAAGAAGGGAAAAAAAAAAAGCCTAGCAGAGGAATTAACATTGATGTGAATATCTGTAGCGTCTCTGACTGTTTTACTGTCTGTGCTGTGAAGAACAACATTTTGCCCTGTGCATTGTTGTTCCAAGTTTAATTTCCTCGTAGGAAATACTAGAAAAGCATTATTTTGAAAATGAACTGCTGTGTGTAGTCATCAGTCTTCACTGTACCTTAGCATCATTTGCTGGATTTAATCCGTTTTAACTTCTTTTGTTGATATTAGGCCGCATCTGGTTTGGTACCAAACTTGGTAGCATCATTAGTGATGTACAGTTCCATGGAAGGGGACATCAGACCACAGTACATATATTATGAGCATACATGCAGTCAGCTAGTGAATAGTTTTCTATGAGATATGTAATGTTTTATACAGATTCTTAAAAATTAAAAAGGGATGGAACATGAAGGAGTTAATGTAATCCCTATGAGGATTATTAGAATCATCTGGCTTAATTTGAGCACAAACAAACCGGTGAGTGTGAGAGCGTATTTCTGTATAAAGAATTTAAACTTTAAAAAATACTCAGTAACCTCCACTCTCTGTGGAGTCTTTTGGATATCTTATGTCTGTATTACTCTTTAAAATTGTCCTCAGATAGGAAAAGCAACAATCTCCTCTAGGATCATTCATTAACCAGTTCATTTTGAAAGTTTGCTGTGCAAACTGTTGAAAATTAACAACTCTCACCAGCAAAGTTTTTATTCTGGTGTAACAACATCTATTTAACCTTGCATTGTCACTTACCATGCTTCCTGTGCTATTGCCATTAAGATCTTAAAGGCAGTGATGAAGGTTGTATATGTTTATTGACCTTTAAAAACATTGTGTCTTTAAATAGAAACTTCACATTCTGTGTATTCCTGTAAATCACCAATCTGTTTTGTGGCTTCTGTAATCTGTTTCTTTGGCCAGCACAAGAAGAATAGGTACAGAAAAGGTACTGCCAGTCTGAGAAGATGTCCTGGTGTCTCCCTGTTACTGATCTGCGAGTAGTGGGGGATTTGGAAAATTCAGCCTTACTGCTTCAAGGAATTCTTACAGAGAGGAAGTTTGCATGACTCAGTGCAATATGTGAAACACTTGTTTCAGATACGATTTTGTGAAGCAGGAACATTCCTTTCCTGCTTACAGATAACAGGTCTTAATTTTACGTAATTGAAGATGTCCGTCTCCATCCTGCCTTACACAATACTGAATTCTGCTACCTCTCTGCAAGTTGGTAAATGTGCAGAGGTGATGAATGTGTGCAGACTAATGGCTCCCTTTTCTTAAAATGCCTGTTTTGATGTTTGTGAACTTCATCCTGCTGTGCTTCATCATCTCTAGGTTGGCAGAATCTCCTCAATGGTACTCTGAAGTTCAAGTCATTTTGTGGTCATGCAGTGATACTGAAATTTTCTAGCCAAATCTTTCAGCTTCTTTTCAGCATGATTTTCTCCTCGTTCACCTGAAATTCAAACTGCTTTGTATTCTGTCAATATGCCTACGTTCCTGTCATTTCATATATTCTCATTCCTCCCTCTATTGTTTTCCTTTGTTCTCAGCTTCACAACTGTTTTCATCTAAGCTTGTATGCCTTAAACAGCTTTCCATGTGCCCAGTGCTTACCTCTTAGCTCATCTCTGATTTTTCTCTTTTTACAGAGCTGTTAAAGGAGTTCCTAGGTGTTGACTTCAAATCGCCTAACTTAAGAATTCCTGCATTTTTGCTCTGTGTAGATAGGAAGTTCTTGGGGGAAATGACCTATTTTTACATCTTTTACATTTTATTTATTATTTACATATTGTCATAAAACAATGAGGACTTTGCAATATTTGATTTTAGAGCCCAAATGAGTGTTTTTTTTTTCCCATGTGTTTAAAACTGTATTAATTTTGGACTTTTACCATTGTAGGAGGTCGGTGAGCCATTCAAAGAGGAGAAGGCTGTTGCTAAATACTTACGTTTCAACTGTCCAACAAAATCCACCAACATGATGGGCCACCGAGTTGATTATTTTATTGGTAGGGTTACTTTTAACCGGAGAATGGAAGTTTCTTCTAACTTTGTACTTGTACTTGGGGGGGGGTGGGGGTGGGTGTGTTTTCTTTTTATTATTAGTGCTTTATCTAATAAGTACTGCTCTTACAATTTGGTTTTGAAAAGTTACCTAGGCATTAGATAGCCATAAAATTAATCTTAACAGCCTGAAGTAAACACAATAAACTTTCCACTCTGTGATTTAAAGATGCATAGTTTTCATGAGTATTTTAGAATAGTGGCTAGCCATACCTTAAAGAGTGAGAGGATGTGGAACATCACCACAACTGACTGGTTGGTGTGGTTCAAGGAATGTAGACTAAATGTTAAAATGAATGTTGTTAATTTTAATGCATTTTTGATTCTGTTTTCCCCTCTAGCCTCAAAAGCTGTGGATTGCCTCCTGGATTCTAAATGGGCAAAGGCAAAGAAAGGGGAAGAGGCTTTATTTACAACCCGAGAGTCTGTAGTTGATTACTGCAACAGGTGTGGCCTAGTCTCATTAACTAAGTTTATTAATGAGTATGGTTGTCAAGCTATTAAGTTGTCGTAGCTGTTTAGGAACCAGTTGCACTTAGACTGTGCATTCTCAAACATGGGGTTGTTTGTAGAAATGATAATTGCAGTCTTATTACTGTGTTTGAAGGTGGAAACTATGTTGTTTCTTCATCTTTGTTCTTGAAACTCTCGCACGCTTTCATTATGCATGTGAGGCAAGATGAAAAAAAAATTTCCTAAATTTCCTAGTTTTTTAAGTTAGTAGGATCAGAGCTCTCAAATCTCATGTGGAGCTGGTCTGCAGTCACGGTAGAAGCTGGACCCTGAGGTTTAGATTATGCCTCTCAGATGGTCAGATGTCCCTTCAGCATACTCGCTGAAGTGTTTTCAGAGTTTTAAATATTAGCACAGTCTACTTCCTTTGCCTTTTGGAAGGGTTGGAGAACTATCTTAATACAAAAATAATCCATTCAGTGTAAAAGGCTGCTTAGGCTCTTACACATGTTGGAAACAAGTACCTTAACTCTCGTCATGACTATTGCTTGTTTTACCTGTTGTATTAAACAAAAGAACAAATAGCAGATCCTGCTCCTTCATCCTGTGTCAGTTGCATCAGTCAATTGCATGTTTAAAACAAGTTACCAATTGAGTTCATAACACTGTTCAAGTACATAAGGTCTCCTGGTACTCATATATACTGATCTAAGTTCAGTAAATTATCTTTTGAGGGGTTTTGCTCACAAATAAGCTACAGAAACAATGCTCTTTTCAGCAGATCTATAGAGGGTTAGCAAGTTGGGAATCCGCAAGCAATCTGAACTTCAGTAGTTACGGCAAGGTCTGTCCTGCTTCAGGACTGGACTGATTGCCGTGCTGGTACTATGGCTGTGTGCTCGGAGCAGTAGGTCTGCAGTCCCATCTTTTTATAATTCCATCAGAGGCAGGGGTAGCTCCCACACCTGAAAGAGCTGTCCTGCAGGCAAGACCTGTCCTGTGGGCTGCTCAGTACCTGAGCCCCTAAACTTCCAGTTACAAAGAAAACCAGTTTCTGCCAAACAAGTGATTTTTCTATTGCTAGAAAGAGAATCCATGTCAACAGTTGTCTGAAGGAAGGGTTTTTTACACACCTGAAACAACTCTGCCTGAGAGTCAGTATGCATATAAGTGTAATTGGTAGAATAACTTCTCTATCTTCAGCGAGTTCCTCGGTTTAACCAGCAGTATGGCATAAAGATTTGGTCTGCAGCAAGAGAAGAAAGAAAGCAAAGACAAATCAAGTTGATTTGTTGCTCCAAATGAGGATTTTTGGTGTAAATATGTATTTGGGTTTCACACCCCACTGCTTCCTCTCAGTGCAAAGAGCAGTATTCTGTATGGCTCTTCCTATTCTGAATTTGGCTATGATTCTTTCAACGATATTACTTGCTGGTGACAAGGTTAAGGTTGAGAATCTCAAATACTGTATTTCCTGGAGCCCGCTGGCCATATGTATACGTGCTCTAAGGTATATTTGTAGCTGGTGTGAATGGAATGCTTGCACATGTACCACAGTTTTATCAGGATGATTTTATTCATCATGCACCACTTGCCGAGGAACTTGATAAGCCATATGTGCACTTTCTTATTTGTGCTGTGAAATACACTGACATGAACCTGAACATAAATATTGGATGAAGTTGCATTAGTGGGAAAGATAATTAAATTGACCTGGTGGGTTTCACAGTCTTGCGTCTTGCAGATTCATTCATATCTATGCAAAATGCTGCCACAGAAAAGTAGGAGGTTTACCCAGTTTCGAGAAGTAAGAGGTGAGACCCAGGATAGTTAGATTTTGTGTAGTTAGTTCTAAATAGAGCAGATGATGGTGATCTCTGTCTTTCAGTCATGCTAGTCATGATTATAGTAGATACTCTAGAATGGTATCCGATTAACAGTTGAGAAAACATCATTATCACACAGCCATACTTAAATGTATCATTTAACTTTTTTCATTTTAAGACTCCTGAAAAAACAGTTCTTTCATCGAGCATTGAAAGTGATGAAAATGAAACCTGACAAGGATACAAAGAAAGAAAAGGAAAAAGGAAAGGCTGAGATTGGGAAAGAAGAGGAGAAAAAGAGCAAGAAGGAAAGTGTCAAAGATGACAAAAATAAGAAGGAGAAAGAAAAGAAGAAGGATGGTGAAAAAGAAGAGTGTAAGAAGGTAAGTACTGTCTGTCAGAGGAGAGAGACACCTGTGACAGGGAATATAGTAACTGGTGAGATTACATGGGCTTAAAATATAGTTGGTTGTTCTAAAATGTGACATACCTTTTTTTTTTTTTTTTGCCTGTTTTCGTCTCTAAAGTGCACTGGGTTTGTGATTTGTTTGGTTTTTACTTTAGGCTTGCTCTGATTTTGATCTGTATGAAAAAAGAGGCTTCAGCTATGCCTTGTTTACCTCATCATCTTCCAGTGTGGGCTGAGATAATAAAAACCTGCTCTTAGCTGCAGCAGGTAGTGATGCTTTCTGCGTTAGCACAGGATAACATGCAGGCATGGGACCAGACATCTGAAAGCAGTGCAGCTGCCCACCTGAAACAAAACCAAGTTTGCGGTGTTTGGCAATAAGAATGTTTGTAATGTTTGATACATGATGCTTGTAAATAGCTCTGTGCTAGGGTGCCAGGTTTGTGTGGGACAGCTCCATTACTAACCTGTGTAACACCTAGTTTTTACAGACTTCTGATTTATTTCCTTTGAAGTTCAGACTGTCTTTATTAAGTTTTCATGTGGTTTTTCATGTTTTCATTCCTAAATTAAATTAGAATTTAGAATTCCTAAATTAAAATGTTAGGAGTCTGCAGGAGAAACTTGAGAGGGGGATGTGGGTTTTTTCTTCTATATACAGTGGTGTGAATCCTGTGAGAGTAGGCTAGTGCTTAAAAGTGATTCCCATTCTCATTGAAATAAGGGCAAATTTAGCAACAGCTATAGTCAACATGTACAAAGGTCTGGACCTCAGAAGAAAGCTAGGTGGCTAATGAAAGAATTACAAACAAAACAGTCTCACTGGCAGTCTAAACACAGAAGCCGGTATAAGCTTATCTTAACTCTTGAGGTACTTTAAAATGATGCTGCTGCAAGTTATGAACCCCGGCAGTTGCCTGTCATCTGGAGAGTTATGTTAGTAAATCATTTTTAAACCAGTCATTATTTATTGAGCTGATATTTTAGTGGATTATATAAGATAATGAGTAGTAACTTGAACACCACCACAGGACAAAAATTAGAAAGTTAATTTTAAGCAAAGAAAATAAGCAAAAAGAAGGAACGGGAGACAGGGAGGAGGAAGCACAAGATCCAGAAAGAGACTGAGGAGATAAACCAGGCAGAAGCCAATTCTTAAAGGATGCCCTTGTGGTAAATACAGAACAAATAATTCTAATGAAGTTAGGGTTGAAGTGGTGTTCGTTGTTACTGATCTTTGTGCCGATTTCCTGTTAACTCTTTGGGGAGCTTCGCTATGCATTTGAAGGCATAATCCTGAAGTCGTAGTCTAGTCCTTAGACACTAATTTAAGAATAAGATTTCTCTTTCCTTACAATTTAACTTCAATTTTGTGCTTGTTTTCAGGATGAGACCCCAGGAACACCCAAGAAAAAGGAAACTAAAAGGAAATTTAAACTTGAGCCGCATGAAGACCAAGTTTTCTTGGATGGCAATGAGGTAGGATTTATGGGTACTTCCTCACTTTTAGTGTCAATGTACCATTGTCCAATAACAGGTTAGTTTACTGGATTTCTGCAAACTCTTTTTTGGCATGTAGAAAGAAAAATTAATGGCGATATGGTGGCTGATCTTGAAACACAGGTTTTTAGATAATTGCAAGGAGGTCAGAAGGAGATAACCAATAGCTTAAAAAAAATCACAAAGAAACTGTATTACTAGTAGTTTCTGTGTTGGTGGCCATGAGGTGCAGTGTTTGTCCTCCGGGTATAACGGGGTGCTGGAGCAGGCTGCACAGAGCAGTTTTACAGCCTCCATGCTCAGCAGCTTTCTGGAGTGGACCCAGTAAAACCCTGAGTAAGTTGGGCAGCCCTTGCCGTGGACCCTGATCTGAACAGCAGGCTGGGCTGGAGGGCCTCCTCAGGTCCCTTCCAACCCACATTATCCTGTGTCTGTTATCCTGCTGAAATATTTCTAAACAAGACACAGACCTTTTGAAACATGATGTGCAGTCACAGGTAGGGAAATAAAAACATTCTTGCCACCCACAGGCTGCCTGACTCTGATCTGGGCAGATGGGTGACACTTGGGCATTCCTTTGTTCTCATCCTGGCTTTACTGCTGAAACTCAGATCTTAAATGCTTCTGCATACTTTGCTTTCCCAGAAGACAGAGAACTTGATTCTTTAACAGCTCTGTAATGCAGGGAGTAATTCTTGTGTTTTTAATGTTTGGTATAAGCGGGAAGCCTTTACTTCAGCAGAACCACACTGTGTTTGTGTTGATGCTGTGTGCCACTGTCCTGGAATTTCCGTGCAGATTCTTGCATACGATGGTTATAAAACATACACAGCAGTGAACTCTAAATAAACACTTTGTGCTGAAAATGTATTTCCTCTATGTATCTTTAATTTGCTCTTCTCAGTCAGTTCTTTTACTGCCAGCCTTGTTCCATGTCATCCCACTGCATACCGAATCACACCTCCCTCTGATCCTCACTGTTGTCTTTTACATGGAGTAACTGTGATGGTGAGTGGCATTCAAAGTGAGGGCACAGCACTGCATTTGCAGTACAATGGTATTTACTCCTTGTCTTAACATCATTTACTTTTTTATTAATGACCTGACATTGTTGAAGAACTGCAACTCTCAAGAGGCTTTTTTTAAGTAGGAACTAATTTCGAGCCAATGCTTGTGTATGTACATTGAGCTGGTTTTTACCTTTTCTTCCTTATTTTGCACTTACAAACACTGAATATTATTACACACTGCCTTACTGCTGGTCACCACTCATGAGCTGCAGTTTGTTTGGACTCATGGAACAGCTGACTGGAAGAAGAGCTGCACTTACATATACTCAACTCTCACACCCTGTGAGAAGTAGAATATTAAATACATGTTGTGTCACTCTGAAAAACTGTATTTTTGCCTCTAAGGTGTCCTCCTGCTAGTTCATACTAATACACTGCTGTGGGGGTTGCTGGTTTCTAGTAATTAGCAGCTTCTCTTCATAATTCATAGCTGAGATTCAAATTGTTTGGTAGGAAAAAAAAAATTCCGGTTTTTCTAGTTCAGAAAATCCTGCACTTTAGCTAGAAGTTGGTGGTGTTTTTTAACAAGGGTGAGCAGATCTGATTCATACAGGTCCACAGTTCTAGCACAAACATTTTGTACCATGTTGCAACTGTAGACATGTAGCTAACAGTGCGTTGTAGAACAGCAGGTACAGTTATGCTTATCTGAGGCCATCAAATGGGACTTCAGCTGAATTGAACATTTCAGCTGGTTGCTTTGTTCCATACGTTCAGTCTGTTTTTTTTCCCCTCTTAGGGAAATCTCTTCAAAGGTAGAAGGAGTATGGCCAGCAGGTTGAGGGTGGTGATTCCGCCCTTCTACTGTGCTCTTACAAGACGCTGCTATGGCAGGGGGCTGGAACTACATAATCTTTAAGGTCCCTTCCAACCCAAACCATTATATGATTCTATTTTGTTTGCACAAAAGTTTTTCTTGACTTCATACTGAACAACATTAATGAATAAAGAAAGATAAAACCAAACCTTGCTTCAGTGATATGTCTGAATTTTTCATTTCCCTGTCAGGTTTTCTGTCTGATTGTTTTCCCGAGGATTTTGTCACCTGTAAGTTAAACAGGTACAACTTCTTTCATGAAGTAATTCTTTGAGAGATCCAGGCTGAGCTTTCCACTTACACAGTGTAGGAACTCCTTCCCTTCCTTCTTCCTCTCCAATGGGAAGCCTCCAGCATGGCCAGCACTCTGCCCAGCTGCAGTTTGCGTTGCCTTTGGCCTCCTGGCACAAGACTCATAACTAGCGCAGCTCAGGCAGTGCTGCGGGCACATAAGCATGTAGCCCCTTGGCTGTCTGTCTCCTTTTGCACCTCTTCTGCCGGAAGAAAAACCTGTTTCAAGTCCTGGTCAAAGTATAACCCTTCCTAGGTTACAGGGGCCCCTGCCCTGCTCCTCTGCTCTGACACAGTACTGACTTGCAGGGCCTCTGTTCAGCACCAAGTAGACAGCACGGCAGTAAGTGTTTGGGTGAGGCAACAAATGAAATAATTTATCAGAGCTTGTTTTCCAAGTGTAAACCAGATTATTTCTGTTGTAGGTGTATGTGTGGATCTATGACCCCGTTCACTTTAAAACATTTGCCATGGGACTTGTACTTGGTAAGTAAAAGCAGGCGTTGGTGAGGACATCATAAATGTAGGCATAGTATTCCAGGCCCATCTGTCCTTGGTGAAGTTTTTCTTTTCCCAGATAAAGTTTTGCTCTTCAGTCTCAGCATGATGTGATATTGAACCTATTACATGAATTTTGAAGGGCTGCAAATGTTGAAAAGTAAAAGCTGAAACATGCTTTAGCAGAGATACGCAGGCTGGTTATTTCCATTGCTGTAAGCTAACAAGTAAGTGATCCAATAGGCCATGCGGGTTATGTAAAAATGTGAAAAATATTAAAGGGATGATTTTAAGTTATGAGTGATACCTTTCTGATCCTAAAACTTGTATTTGTGTAGGATAAGCCAAATCACCTGGTTTGGTTTTGTTGGTTTTTTTGTGTAATCTAAATTAGTATTGATGTTAACTGCTGATGTTAAGCTCACTGATGACAGTGAGCTAACAGATCAGTGTCCTACTGGTCTAGCCCTCTGACTTGTTCTGCCAGCTTCCTCTGTGTGGAACAGCCACCTCTCCCGAGAACTCACATCATCCCTTGTGGGCTTTGACCCACAAGGGTCAAAGTGGGGCCAACACAACTTCAATCCAGCTCCCTGTGTCCCTTTCCTGCTGCACTGGTTATAGTCAGCTCCCTGCTCCCCTTTTTACTTGTGCCCACTCCTCAGAGGGGCTCCTTTTGCTCTATTGGCTAAGCAGAGTGACTCAGAGTTGCTGAATGCAACGTGTCTACCCAGTACAAAAAACAGTGAGTCTAGACAAGTTTTCAGCTATTCTCAGTACCTCATACTATGCTAAGCCAATACCTTGAAGAAATAGTAAGCCTAGTACCTTTGTACCCATACCATGAAAAAATAATTGTCCTTCTCATGCTTTTCTTAGTGATTGCTGTTATAGCTGCAACGCTGTTCCCCCTCTGGCCAGCGGAAATGCGTGTTGGTGTTTATTACCTCAGTGTAGGCGCAGGCTGTTTCGTCGCCAGTATTCTTCTTCTTGCCGTTGGTAAGTGTTGGTCATCCTCAGTGTCACCAGGTGAAGTTTGAAAGGTCAGAGACAAGGAAGACAGAGCCTACCTCTTGGACGTGGTCCGAACAGTCAGACCGATTCTTTGTTACGGATTTCCCTCCTGGCCACTGGGTGTCAGAGTTGTGCCACAGAAAGAAAGAAATCAAGCTTGTCACCTGGTTGTGTTTCCTGTAGAGTGGAGATCTGTGTACTGCCTCCCTTAAAAAAGAAAAAGAAAGGGGGGGGGGGGGCAAAACAAACCCAAGAGCTGTGCATAAAAACATATTCAGTGGTGGAAATGATGTAACCAGGATTTTAAGGCTTTCTTCAGCTTGTATCTCTGTAACTGCAGGGATTAAAAGCTAAATCATAGATAAGGTTTGTAATTAATAGGATGGGGGAGACACAATAAGAACAACTGATGCCACAGCGCTGTTGCAGAACAAGAGATTTCCTCCTAAGGTCACCCCTGTCCCTGGCTTGAGGTGGGCATCAGCCTGTAGTGTACATTTCTTACACCACAGGTGTGCATTGTGTGTCTTTTATTATAAACCCCAGCATTTCTGTTTTTTTTTATATACAGCTCGCTGCATCCTTTTCCTGATCATCTGGCTGATCACTGGAGGAAGGCATCACTTCTGGTTCCTGCCAAACCTTACAGCAGATGTGGGCTTCATTGACTCCTTCAGGCCTGTGTACACACATGAATACAAAGGACCAAAAGCAGACTTAAAGAAAGAGGAAAAATCAGAATCCAAAAAGCAGCAAAAATACGACAGTGAGGAGAAATCAGACAGTGAGAAGAAGGAAGAAGATGATGGGAAAACAGAAGGACCGAGGAACTCGGGAACAGACGGCTCTGGAGGAGAGCGGCATTCAGACACTGACAGTGACAGGCGTGAAGACGACAGGTCCCAGCACAGTAGTGGAAATGGAAACGACTTTGAAATGATCACAAAAGAAGAACTGGAACAGCAAACAGATGAGGGGGATTGTGAAGAGGAGGAAGAGACCGAAAGTAGGCCTTCACATGAAAAATCATAACTCACTGTGGTTTGGGGACTAAGTATGTGCAAATGGTTGGATTTTCTTTGTTGGCTGATCACCAAAACATAGACCATACAGTAGCGTCTTTGTTTGCTGAAATATACATGTTACCAAACAGTTTTATATCTAGTTTCTTCATTTTTTTTTAACCATTAACTTGATTATTTGGTACTATGTTAATCATTAATATCCATTTACAGAAGTTTTATCAATCTGACAAGTCTTCTATTGATTGATAGATTGCCCAGATTGTCCTCAAACATACTGAAGAACAGTTTTCTGGTACTTGCATAACTGGTCAATTAGTTTAGCTTCTCAAACTTGCTTTTGTAAAACAGGTGATAGTGGAATGACCAAATCTTCAATTATTCCTAATTATTTGATCTTTAGTTAGGTAAAGCCCATCTTAGCCTACAGCTTTCTTGTTATCCTTCTTGATTTTGTTTTCAAAAGATTGTGAAAACTTTCCTGAGAAAACTAGTTTTAGCAGAAGTATTTGGCTGAAAATGTAGAAGCTGGTAGTGCTGAATTCAGCTGCAGTGCTCTTTTTCTCCAGACTGCGTGCCAGCAACCGAGGAAATCCAAACTGGTTTTGTACATCTGGTTCACAGAAAGATGTCATCTCCAGCAGGTGAAGGAACTCTCCAGGTTTGGAAATCCTGGCTGTTTTCCTTCTCCTGCTCCATCATAATTAAAATTTAAATAAATGTATTCTGTACATAATTTACAAATAAAGCAAACCATTTACTTTAACTGCTACTTATTATTTAGAAATTTGATCCAGCATTCAGTTTGTATTATTAAAGCCATTTTGTGGTGTATCTATCGGAGAAATGCAAGTCACGAGGACCTCACAGAATATTTGTGTATGATTGGTAGCTGTTCCACAAAAGCTTTAGTTTTGTGCCAACATTCCATGTATTTGAGTATGAGTAAATTGATCTTTATTAAATGAAAGCAAACAACATAGCTGTATGTATGCCTTAATGTTAAACTTTCTCTATTCTGGAACTGGACTACTTTTAAAACTGAAGAAGCAGCAGAGTATTCCTCTGTTCAGAAGCACAGGTAACTCAAAGCTAATACAAAATGACCATTAATAATTTGTTTATAAATATTTTGGAGTAGTTTGTATGGTTTCTGTTGTGCGTCCCTTTCTGCTGGATGTTTGGAGGATGTATGTTCAGGTTAACTAAGCACTGAGAAAGCGAAGACTTGGCATGATTCATCCAGATGACTCCAAGATTGAGTATAGATTCGATTGCCTTCTGGAGCTGCTCAGAGAAGATGAGGGTAAGCTTGGCATTTTAATGACTAACTTGGAGAACTGTTTTTCCCCCTGTCCTAAATTCATTCCCTTTCTTTCCAGCATTGGCGTTTTTGATGAAGATACTAATTTTTTCAGATTATGCAAATATAAACATCATAATGGGTGCATTGATAATTCATGGATCTGGTGTATTTGCTTCTTAAATATTTACTCCATGAGGAAACAGATAAATTGGATCACTTTTTTATTAATATAGCAAAAAATTAAAGGACCCATTACCTTAATAGATTGACTCCTAGATACTTGTGTGGTATCACTGATTACAATAGGTAAGGAAGTATCTGACTTGGGTACATCTAATGGTGATGAAGCCGCTCCAGCAGCTGATCTGAGACACTCCTGATGCTTTGCTCAGACGAGGTCTCATTCTCTTTGTGCTTGCATGTCACACTTTCATGGCTGCTGCTGACAGCAGAGCTGCCTCTTCCAGCACAAGTACCTTGGGCCTGTTTGCTCTGTGAGTGCTGGTACCTCTGGCCTGAAGAGCGGGTGCTATGGCTTGTTTGGTAACTTGCTTTTCAGCAGGCAGGTGCAGAGTTACAGAACTTTGTGCTGAATGTTCATCGTGTTCAGTTCCTGCTGATGCTGATGGGAGCACAACCGAGGGTGGTCAGCCTTGCGCATAAGTGTCTTCCAGAGGCCATTTAGAGATTGGCACTGGGGGAGTGCTCCATACACTGAGCACGGCAGAACACATGCGCTGGCAGTGTCCAGCAGTGGCTCACAGCAGGCTCCACAGCCACTGCCTGTCTTTGAAGAAATATGGGATTTCAATCATTTCAAGTGCGTTTCCTCCTAAAAGTGAAGTAAAATCTTAAGGGCCTTGCTGAGGAAATAGGTTGAAATGGTTGAATAATAAATACGTCAGTAATGTCGCCATCTGCTTCCTGCTAAGTTGATGTGTGCGATATGCCAGCGCTACCTGCCTGTGGCCTGGGGAGTGGTACCCAGGTCTCAAAATTAACTACAAAAAGTTTGTACTGTCACCTTGCTGAAGTCCCAGGCTCACCCAGTGGTAGGCACTGAATTAGCCTTAAACTTTCACTTACCTGCAGTGGATGACTGCATCTCCTGAAGGAATGGTGTGAAGAAAGAGATAAAGAGATGACTGATTTCAGTGGTTCAGGAAAGGACTGTGACCCATTACTGTGATCCAGCATTTTTTACAAATACTCCCCCAAGACTTCAGAATTATTTTGAATGAGATAATGAGAGAAGTGAGTACAATATGACAGTAAAACTGTGAGTAGACTTACGGTATCCTGAGAAATGCTTCCAGTCCAAAGAGGGAAAATCACAGGGGGACTTTGCTACATTTAGTTCTTTATCAGGATGCTTCTGTATCAATCGGGTATTTAGAAGTTCTTCCTGATTTTGACTTTAAATTTCCAGAGCCTAGGGTGACCTTATGGGAACAAGTATATACGTATACATTTAGTGGAAAGTTACTTAAATTTAACTATTAAAATGTCCTTCCTGCAATAAAATTTTATAGTGGTCTTACTGATATTCCTCCCACTGTTTTATATACCAAATATAATTTTCTGATTGTTTTTCTTTGAGAGAAAATACGGTTATTCCTAACTTTTTCTTTTCCCCATTAAAACTGGTAAAACACAAATAAGTATTTAATGCAGGTCAGTGTTTAGCAGGGACGTTGTATGCATGTATGGTCTGCTCCGCTCCAGTATGGATGCAGTAGCCTCAGCTCACTTGCAGTGTTCTGCTTGCCTTAAAGGCAGATCTTTCCCTAGCAATTAGGAAATAAATAAAAATTACTCGTTGACAAACTTGCATATTTCTTAATCAGCAGAAACGTTACAGCACTCGTGGGGATGCTTGTGATGACTATGAATAGCAAGGTACCTTTGTGGCCGCAGCTTGGGGGAAGCATTTACTGTCACCTGCTGTATATCATAGAGAGATTTTTCCTTTTTATAAAAAATACATTTTGTAGGAGATATATATATATATTTTTCTCATTCAGGCCTGTGTCCGTTTGAAATAATACCAGGTGCAGTTCACAGAGCCATCATACAGCATGAGGAAGGGCACATAAAAAGAAATGAAGAATGTCTCAGTTCCTCAGTTGACTCTTAAATGATGTTTTAACCAGGGCTCTGCTCCCTTTTGTTAGATCAGGAGAAAGGCTGGCGGAAGCATCTGCCTCAGGTAAACATGAAATATAGAAATACGGAAAGTACACCTGCCTGCCTTAGCTCCTGATTTTCCATCCTCCCACCACGTGCATTTCCCTCTGTGGTGCTAAGCTGTATGAGCCTTGCAGGGTTGCTCTCCAGCTCCTCTGAGGATATAATTCTCTTGTAAGTGGGGCCACAGTGACAGCAAAGTCACATTCAGACCTCCGCTTCTCATCAAAAGCACTCAGGCAACAGAGAAATATCCTGTTCCAGCTGCAGTTGTTTGAGTGGCAGCAGATGGAAGTCCTGACCAGAATCCCTCCTGGATCTGTTAGCAGATTTGAGTCTGAATGGGCTCAGTTCAGAGTAAAGCCATTTCACCCTCCCTGCTGTTGTGCCTTGCCCTCTCCCTCCCTCATGCAGTTACTGAGCTGTTAACCCCAGCTATCCCCCATCCCACAATTCAGATGCTCCAGCCACAAACCTAAGCCCATTTACCAAATACACCTACGTATCACCTGGAAAACAGACCACTGCAGAGAAGTTAACTGTCAGTACCTATGTTCCCTTGGAGATGTCACAGTGAGGAGCAAAGACCAGCTTCCCTGCCACTTGGTGTCCCAGAGCCTAACCAAGCTCGCTCCCCATGGGCCTGCCTGCAGATGACATGTTCTACAGCCCAGCTGTTCATAACAAGAATGTGTTCTTCCCCTCTTCCCCATCCCGAAAATTTTCCTTACTCAGTCTAGGTGCGCAGTGTTTCTCTGTGCTGCCGCTAGTTGGGATTTCCAAGAAATGCTGTATCTTGCCTTTCCCAGAACAGATACACACTATGCTCTGCACAAGACCTGGGGCAGACTGGTATATGCCTTTTTCTGTGCTAAAGGAGCTCATGGCTTTGGTTCCAGGCACTGGGAAAACTTCGATAGTGGCACCAGTGAGGCGCATAATCCTAACACGTGGATCCAACGGCAACAAAAGGTGATTTTAAAATTGTGCTGGCACTTAAGCACCCCAGGAAAGGTGTTTTGGCCTTAACTTGGTTGTTAAGAGAGAACTGAGTCCTTTTAACTTCTAAATTCACTTCCCTCCTTCACTCCTCAGAAAAGAGAGAGGAGGGCTTGGCAAGAGAAGGTCAAAGAGCCCCTTGGAGAGAGAAGGCGAGAGGGGACATCCCAAGCTGGTGACAGTACTGGCAGGCTGGGTGCGAGAAGAGTGCTTCTGAAGAAAAGCTAAGTGGAGCAGACACAGTATCCAAAAAGCCAGCAATACCCCTGGTTTGACTTACAGCAGGCTGAAGCCAGCCCCCAACAGCTGCTTGAGGCACAATGCAACATACAGTTTCAGATCAACTTTTCCAGCAGGAAGGTTCTATACATATAGATTCCGTACATAATGTTGAGTTCTAGAAAGCTTGTATTTGCCTTACTTTGTTGTATTTGAGTCTAAATTCTTGTAACATCAAACAAACAGGACAGGAGCCACACTAGTGGTTAACTTTTCTGCTCCCAGACAGTGGTCAGAAAGGGATGCTCCAGAAGGAGATGCTCATGGACCGTGAGTTCACATACAGCACCTTCTGCCCCTGAATGTAGCTACTCACTTCCCAGCTGTTGCGGGAAGGGAGGGTTGCATTGCGTACTGCTTGGCTGTCATTTTATCCAACTACTTCTCATAGTATTTTTAAAGCAAACCTAGAAATGTCTGAATCATGCAAGTCTGAACAAAATTATTTATGGTGCTATTTTTGCCAGAAAGTCTTTATCAAACAGTTTCCAATATCCAAAGTAGTGACAATGCATCTGAGTTTTCATGTTAGGACCTACTGCTCAACATTTAGCAGGAGATCATTGGTAGAGTTACCTTTTAAATAAGGCAGCTCTTGTTAGGAACTACCATCTGTTCTGTGAGTCTCCACCTACCTGCCAGCATGGCAATGTGACAGATGGATTGACTTTTAAATACAGAAAAGCCAGAGAGATCAATTTTGCTGGGAGCTTTAGAGCTTCTAACTAGAGAGGTGATAGTTAACTACCATCTAGAACAAGGCTGACCCCCAGCTCACTCCAGAGGATTCCTCAGGCTACTTGGGTATTTTTTCTAACATGAAGGGTTGACAGATTTGATTTTCAATGTCTCTGATCAATCCCTCTCTAAAAAATCAGAATAATACAGTTGACCTTTACCTGCTTTACCACTCTGCCATAAGGGTATGTGAGCTGATGTTTGCAAAACAGAAGACCTGGGACACTGACTTCTAACAAAGTTTTGTCAGTACATAACTGTTGAACATGATTTATGACTGATTCTTATCAAATACTTCAAAGGGAATTAGAGGAGAGTGGTATGAAATGACCCAACGCTCTGTCATCCATCAGCACAGCATTGCAGCTTTCTTGCATGGAGCATAAGGAAAAGGACAAAACAATCCTACCAGTGTGTATGAACTAAGACTGAAGCAGCTGCTGAATGTTTTCAATAGACTTCCTGGTAATGGCTGGTACAATTTCATTAGGGCTTCTCATTTTATTTAATAAAACATTGGATGGTTTTATTTGTAATAGAGCCACAGGTGCAGGAAAACAAAAGGCACATTTCCTGATCGTGTCCACAAAGAGTCCATTACTGACTGGCTGACACAGCAGG